ACCAGAAAATAACATGTGCAGGTATAGGATTTTTTTCAAAAATGTTGAATGGAAAGAATAACCTTAAGGTACAGCTGGAAACTAACATTTTGCTGAGCCTTAACTTTGGATTTTTGTTATCCTTATATCGCCACCCACGACCTTAGCCCCGGACATTACATTAGAATGTGTCCAATTTTCGGAAAATCGATTGAGACAAAATCAACAAAAATTGAGATTTCATGAGGAATTCAAAAGGAAATTCCCAGAAGACGCGAAAAAAAGTCATATTTAATACTATAATTGGAAAATGAAGAATAGGCAATGCTAAAACACCTCGTAAAAATCAGATGACTAAAATTCCTGTCCTCTGAGCAAGAACACCTCAAACACGAACGAAATTCCATTGGATGAATTCTCAAGAACCCTATCATTAAGACATCAGAATGATCAGTCAAAAGTATTGCATGACATGTGGTATCGTAATCAAATATTTATAATGATTTGGAAGAGCAAAAAGGAGAAGTGTTAAACATTTGAATGAAAAAATGATCAGTTATATACATATCCTTTACTGTGCCACAACTTTCTCATATGTTATATATTTTGGCACAGGCCATCATTTATTTTCCTTGAATTCATGCTTTTGTTCCTCGTTTTAGAAATGAGAAGGAAATCTTTGATTTTCCTTGTATTTAAGTTGCTTAAATGTTGCCCTGTGATGTTGATAAAAGTCAATAGTAATTAATTACAGTCACAGTTGAAATGTACCCATTGCTAGCCCAGAACCTACCAAAATAGCATTTGCATTTAGTCAATATTGCCCTATGTGCTTTTCCATGAAAATAATTTTAATCGTATCTTTTCTTGAGTATTTCATTACATTTTGATATATTTAAATTGGTTAATATTTATATACTATTTACTTAGACAACAATAAATAAAGATTTTTTTGTAAAAACACCAAAAATGGTATATGATCTTTAAATGACTGTTTTGTGAACATCAAAGGTCAAAATTCGCTGAAATAGTATTTTTATAAAGCACAAATGATTTTTCTTCAATATGATATGCATTATTATCAGATATCTTTGGGGGCTAAAAAGGGCCCTTAATGACACCCGTCCTTTTATATACTGATGTCTAGAGATAAATGAGATTTGCTCAAGAATAAATGTTCAAAATGGCCACCATTTGTCGTAAAATGTAATCTTTGACAATCCAAATACAAGTTGATTGATTTTTCGAAATGACATTATGCTTAATAACTTAAATGCCATTGGATTTGGTTAAAATGTAATAGGGACAAGGAAGCTCTGTTCAAGAACTTTTTAATTTACCTTTATTTCTATCAAACCATGTTTGTTTGGTGGTATTTGCTACTCTATGGAGTTGCTGTTTTCAAGTTACCAGTTACTGTCAATGGGACTGCCTTACATTTTAAAGTCTTCAATAGAATATTTCTGAATTAGTTGAACCCAGATAGCCTACCTACCTACCTATCTCACCCTAGGCGAAGTAATAGGCCAAAATCTAGCAGAATCGAGTCAGGAGAAGACGGTCCTACAATACATTCAGTATTAGAAAGGATGAGTCTGGGAATGAGTCTGGGTATCGACTTAGAAAATATTGAAAATTGTAATGTCTGAAAAACCAACTCAATCACACATATCATTAAACTTCAATATCTTATCCTTCTTCTGAGATTACTAAAATATCAATTTGTATCAAAATTGATGAAGAATATTGGCATCAAAGAAAGTGCATATCACTTTGTCAGAATTGAAAAAAATCAATGGCAAATATTAAATGAATTATTTATACAAAAAGTTTGAAACATATCCTCCAAAACATTGCTTATTTTCTTTGTATAGACATTGAATTGTATTTCTGGATAAGTGAATTTGTGTTTATCTGGGTAATCAAGGGATTATAGTCACTCAAAGTTACTGAGCATCCAGTTTTGAGACTTCAATTGTGTCGGTGAAGTTACACATATTTCAGTCAAATTCATGCTGAGCACAACATTTTGGTTTCAATTTTATAATCCCTATACATGACCCTGGTGATGAAGAGTCAGATTCAGTCAAAAAACCCAAACCGGAAAACTGTGCTCATTGTGAAAACTAAAAGTGAAGCAACTTTTTTTCTGATATTTCTTACATCAAATGGCAGCCATCTTGTTTTTCCCCCTTCAAATTAAACTAGTGGGAAATTCAAAAATTTGAAAAAAAATTTAATCCTTAAATATATTTCAAAAATATGATTTTCTTTTTAATTCTTCATGGGTCTTAAGTTATTTCTTCTTTGTATGTCATACATGTTGCCATTGGTGGTTTTTTCTATGATAATGACTATTTTTTGTTTTATTAATTCTTTGAGATGTACAAATTGAAACACTTGGATAAACGTTAACATCAACAACTTTTTTCAGTAGTTTTCTACTTACTGTCATACATTACATTACTGTCATATGTATTTCAAATTTTTAATAACTGGTGGATAGCATTATGAAGACAGTGGTTCATGTCTTTGTGTAGATTCATATAAGCTTTCCGGGCCACTGGAATACATGGCGGGCATCTTTGGCTCTGTTTCTCCTGTTTTTCACCCATCTTGCCACTTTACTTCCTGCAACGCGTCTATTGAAATCTTTACCAGTAGCTCTCTTTTTGTAGAATTCCTTAAAGGCATGAGGGTTGTTTCTCATTTCAAACAGCGCGTCATTGAGAGCAAGTAAACATTCCTCAAAGGAATCGATATCTTGGTGGTCCAGGACTTCACCGGCTTTTACCTGGGGGTCAACCCTAGTTTGGGATAGATTAGGACGCTCAGGGAGGGCCCTGAATCCATGCAAACAGCATTACAATCCTGAAGTCAGGGTAAAATTAGAAGAAAATGGTGTAAACCTAGTGATGCTACCTCTAAAGGGCCATCTTCTTAATCCTTGTGAGCTCTTCAACAATAGCATCCAACAAAAAGTATCACGGTGGCATCCCCCTGGCAACCCCTGTGGTGAATATGGCCACTCAATTGTAGGCCCCCGATCCTTTGAGGAATGTTTACTTGCTCTCAATGACGCGCTGTTTGAAATGAGAAACAACCCTCATGCCTTTAAGGAATTCTACAAAAAGAGAGCTACTGGTAAAGATTTCAATAGACGCGTTGCAGGAAGTAAAGTGGCAAGACGGGTGAAAAACAGGAGAAACAGAGCCAAAGATGCCCACCATGTATTCCAGTGGCCCGGAGAGCGTATATGAATCTACACAAAGACATGAACCACTGTCTTCATAATGCTATCCACCAGTTATTAAAAATTTGAAATACATATGACAGTAATGTAATGTATGACAGTAAGAGTAGAAAACTACTGAAAAAAGTTGTTGATGTTAACGTTTATCCAAGTGTTTCAATTTGTACATCTCAAAGAATTAAGCCAAATATACATAAATATAGCATAAAATGTGAAAAAATGCGAAATTGGTGCTTCATCTTAAATGACTGTAAAAATTTGAAAATTAAAATTCAAGCAAATCAAAAGAATCTGAGTGTTGGAAAGTGTTCATAGTTTGTCCATGTGAAATTTCATCATGATTCAATAAGGGGAAAGTGTTCAAAACAAGTTTTAAAGTTTGTGACTAATTAGTGTGTGGGGTACTATGCATCAAAACTCATGAAAAAGTAAATATACTTATCAAATATAACTAGGACAGTAATAATAAAAACCATATTTCACATACATTTGACTGGGGGACCAAAAGGGCATATACCCAGACACATCCTTTTGTAAGGTGTTATTTGTATAGACGAAGAATTATATAAAATTTTGTATATTTGTAAGTGAAAGATCTTAACTGCTCAGTTCATGTGTTCACAATTGAATCGAACGTGCAGTAGTGACGAAACTGTGAGAAGTTAAGATTTAAATCTCCTGCTATAAATTATGATCTATTATTGTCAAAATATCGGTAATTCTCGATTTAATTGAAAATTCCTTCTCTTGCAGAGGTCCTACAACCATAAGGCATAAGTCGAATGGAATCCAACAGGTATTTGAGTTTTCACTCGGACAGTGACACATACGGATGACGGCTTTTCTATATCCCGCGGAGCTTTGTTCGGTGGGATTAATGAGCAGTCAATTTCATAACCCAGGAGCAACTTTGTACTAATAGTGCATTACATCATTTTCCCACTCTAAATGAAACAAAAATATAAATCAGAAATGATGGAGGATATATGCACTTCTGTACTACTACTGTCAAATTCCCACACCTGGTACAGTACTATGTGTCCTTTTCTGACCCTCCCAGGGTAAGGGGTCTTATGCTAACTGTTTGTTCGATTGGTTTTGGACATGTTGGCTCAGTCATGGCAGCCATTTTGGATGTCTTAAGAAAAGTCAGCGAGCGATAATAATGAAGTGAGTTGAACAAGATGTTAAAGTTTTAAAAGTCACTGTCAAGCTGTTTCTCTTAAAGTTTGCAGACAAGGATTTTAGAATTGGACTTCAAAATGACAGACAGGAAGTGGGTATTGAGCCGAAACTTTTTCTACCGGATTTGTGTATACTCACAAGTTATCCCTGAAAATTTGAAGGTGATACCTGTAGCGGTTTTTGAGGAAACTGTCAGTGGTACGGACGGACAGACGCACCTAGGCCGACAATATGGCCCCACACTATGTGGTCGGGACATAACAAAACTAACAACAAAAATAATGTTAAGTAAATTGTATATTTTGTACACAATCAATACATGTTAAATATTAAACAATATAATTGTATTGTATAACGTGTACATGCAAATTTGACCGATATACTGACAATTGTGTGTCTAAAACAAATCACCTTCAAAAGTGTGTTCACATTTTCGAAGGCAATGTGTAATGAACACTGTATTGCAAACTGACCAGAAATATGACAATGATTCAAAGCAAATGGCTGGAGATCTAACACATGATCAAGATACTGCAGAAAAACTGAATCAATAAAAATTGAATTTACTATCTGTTAAAAATGTCTCCATGGCAACTGTAGATAGTGTTGTTACAGCGATGATCAATTGTTCAATAAATAATACCAGAGCTGCTGACTGAAGTAGTGAGAGTCATAGACAGGGCTAAGATTTTGTTTGTTTTCTTGTTGTAAATATGTCTCTATGAAACTGAATGGCGTTGTTATGGCGACGATGAGCAGAGTTTCTATGTTGAATTTGCTTGACTTTTACTGGAATAAAAAAACACAAATCATTATTTCCAATTCTGTGAACGTCATACCACATTCTGCATAGTTAGCAATCATATTTCCCGAATCCTCAAGGGATCATCGACTTTGGTGAACCTGCAAGTCTTAAGAACGATTGGCAATTTCATCAATTTTAATCAACATATCGCACCCAATTGATTTCAGGGAAAAATTAATATCAATAGAATTTAAGTTCCTGTAAGTGTTCAACATTTATTTTATTGTACACGATGCACATTTTGATAAACATAAAATACATTAAGACTGTAAAATAATGTTAATACATTGAGCTGATGAAACTGCTAGAAAAGAAATCCAGTTGAAAACTGAAATCAATTACACAAATTTTTATCTACAATTTTGGGACAATCTGAATTTTCATCCAAATCTCGTATTCTAGAGCTTCTCTTGGGATTTCCATAGGAGCAATGTTTCTTATAGCTATTTGAGACAAAAATGTGTGCGGAGCACATAGGGAGTGGAGTGCCCAGCCTCGTCTAAAAGCCTACTGTACACTGCACAAATACTTTTTATTGTATCCACAGACATTGTGATGTCATTTAACAATGACAACATTAAGACATGTGGGAACATGTGGTAGTGATCTCCCCAGCATTAAGGCAAGTGGGCACAGCACCCACCTGAGATTTTAAAAACAGGCTTGCACCCAAGTGAGAAAAATTATGAAAATAGGCATATTTTGACCAATTTCAATGAAAATTGTGAAAATGAGAATTTTCCACCCACTTGGGGAAAAATTCTGGGGAGACCACTGACTTTGGTACTTACACATTTCTCTTCAAGAAGTCCATCTTTGAAAAATTGGAATACGTATGTTTCTTCTCCTTGTTCATTTTCTCTGAACTCAAGAATTACAATCATGCCCGGGAATCCATCATCACTTTTGGGAATAGCATCTGAATCTAATAATAATGAAAAAAAAGAATGTAAAATGGCAAAAAATGGATACATAACTAGAATTTTAAGATTGCAAGCAATCTTACAGAGGCCCTCGTAGGCATTTTTGACAATGTAGAACCTTAAGAGGAATATATATATACTAACTTTCATCCAAAAATATAGATTTGTAGTCACCAATTTTGAGAAAGTTGGAAAATACAGTTTGTGATTTAGTTTGATGACCTTGACATTTGACCTTGCAAATTTTACTTTTTTAGACCTCAGTAGGTCTTTTTTGATTAAATGTACCTCAATTTGAATTTAAAAAATCAATGTATTCAACCTTTTAAAGGTCTTTAAAGGTCAGGTAAAGATCAAAACTAAGGTCAGACTTGAGCTCTTGTAGATTTTTAAAAAAAAGTTTGGTCAATTTGAAATATAGTTTTGAAAAGTTTCGAAATTTGACCTTTTTCCAGTTTTTTGATTTCTTATATCTCAAAACTGGTGCACAATTTTAATGGATAGTCAATTGCTAACATGTGTAGAACCTTTAAAGGAATATATATTCTGACTTTCATCCAAAAATATTGATTTGTAGTCAACAATTTCCTTTCGAATGTCACTGAAGGTCAACCAAAGGTCGAAGGTCAAAAGTAAGGTCAGATTTGAGTTCCTGAGATCTTGAAGATGATTTTTTTTAAATTTGATCAATTTGAAGCAAGTTGAAAAATGACCTTTCCGTTTTTTACACCAATTATCTCAAAAATGGTAAAAAATTAACGCAAACAAATAGTGAGCAATTTGTAGGGAATGCTTATATCTAGTTACATTTTAATTCATCGCAAGAAATAATGAAGTATGAGGACAAAATCTGAGAAACTTAAAAAATACTTTGATTTGGCCTTGATTTTGACCTTGACCTAGATAAAAGTTCCGCCAAGTTCCTGGATGGTGCATGTAGGAGATAGTTGAAAGGTAGTTGGAAGTAGGAGAAAAAGGTTGGGGAAGAATAAAGAATAACTATAAACAATATCTATAAAATTAATAGGAGGCCTGTCTGTTGGGGCCTCCTAATAAATATACAGTGATTGATAATGCAGGTTAGAATTTTTTATTTTCCAATATATGACTAATACAAGATTTATGAGCAGAGTTCCTTTATTTCTAATCATCAGCATATTATATTCGAACCAAATCCGTCCACTGGTGTTTGATTTATCAAATATTAAGTTCTTTTATGAAAAATGGCAGCCATTTTGAAATTGAGCTGCCATCTTGAAAATCTGAGCAAAGCTTCTGTGTCCTTGGGCATCAGTATATAGCATCTGAACAAAGTCTGTTGACTGGTATTTGAATTTTTACAAAAAATGGCAGCCATTTTATATTGAGTGGCCATATTCAAAATTCCCTCTGAAGCAGATGTCCTACGCCATTAAGCATAAGCCTATAAAATTGAAATCAGATCAATCACCTGGTATTCGAGTTAATGCCTGGACACATGAATGAATGGATTGACAGACAGATTTTCTATATCCCTTAAATAGGTGTATGTCATCTCAATACAGGTTTATATTATGAGCTGTGTTTTCAATAACGCCGTCCTTACATTACATACACGCAAAATATATCCCTTGGACCAGGAAATAAAAAGTGATTGCGTTTTGTGGACGCAGTGCAAGCCATACTCATACATTCAACTTTGGATGAATGATTTGATAAAGATCTTACCTTCAGTCTCTTTATTTCGTCAGAATCCACTAAATAATTGAAGGAAATTCTATTTCTAAAAGAAATAAAATTTTCTTTCGAAATTTCCTTCCCGGAAGTTAATTTCTGATCGAAATAGTACGAGGCATGTGATAGGACAAAAAGTTATCCAATACTCGATTTCCGAGCAGTAATCAGTACGAGTCCTACGATTGGCCGGTAGCTGAAGACCTGATTCAAACCATTTTCAATTGGTCAAGTGCGATCACGTGATCATTATTTGAGACTGCACATGCGCAAGAAACTGAACCAAAAAATTGAACCTCGCACAGAATGCCCCTAGACTAAACATGCTAAAGCAAAATCAATAGCAAATTGCTTCGAAATTCGCAAGGAAAATGTGTTTTTAATGGGTGAATATATGTTATACCTCACAAGTGATGGTATCTGTATCATTCAATGACATACTAAACTCGCAAGAACGCTGATTTAGACCGATAAATAGCAAAAGCGGCGATACAAAATTTATTTCATCCAGTGTAAAAACGTGACTTTGAATTCCCGGGAACATTTTTTCAATGGACGCAGTTTTTTGAGGGGAGACGCATTTTTTGAAAATCATTACGTCCCAAGGACGCAATCTTGGACAAGCCTACTGAAAACACTGATAAGGGTATGTCATCTTTGAACTCTGGTGTTAATCCCCCTCTTATCCCCTAGTTTCGTTCAGTGGGATAATTAAGAAATAAAATCAACAAACTTATGAGAGAGACAGAGGCAATTTTAAATGGTAAAACAAGTAAATTGTACCCAAAGTAATATCATGCACTAAGTATGCCCAAAAAATTTCCTTTATTTTCTCTCTCTGATCTTTAATTCTGATTTGGGCACCCCAACCTCCAAAAAAAAGTTTTGCAAAGTTGAAATATCTCTGATAGTGGAATACACCCATACATGTAACACTTCAAACTACCACTACCCATTAAAATAATATAATATAAAAAAATGAACTTTATGGAACAACTTCCTAAGTGGAAAGATATTCTGACACCCAATGTGTTCAACTTAAACAGGTGTATAGTAAAATACATGGAAAAATCATTTACTTACGCACATAGAATTGAAGCTTTTTAAACCTTTTCAATAGGTTGCTCATGTAAGGTTTAATTTTTTCTTCGAATATTTTACAACGTTCTGGGTTTGTCTCTGAAAGCTTTGCTTGTAATCTGGAAACAGATTAAGGGTTGTGGCATTTATTATGATAGAAGTAGCAAAAATAACATTTCAGAGGTTGACAGTTCAGGGGTTTTATTAGCAGCAGGCAACAGGCGATTTTCACCGGTTGTTTTCACATAATCACCTGTCGTTTTTTAGGGATTTTTTAACTTTTCCATGTTAAAGGATGAGTCTGGGGATGAGTCAGGGTTTCGAGTTTGAAAAATTGAAGAATTTCAAAATCTCAAAAACCTCAGATATTATATATATTATTTTACCTTGATATGTTACCTTTCTTATGAATGCCATATTTTGCCATTTAGAGAGTCAGATTAAGAAGATAATTGGCATCAAAGACTATACCTAGTTCTGCACCATTATTTCTAAAAATAACAATGCCAAATTATTTTTAGTGATTTTTCTAGAAATAAGTGAGTAAACTCTCCAACTATTGTTTAATTGAACAAAAGGGTATTTGAGTGTAAGTTGTTGATCATTGGTGACTTGTGTCAATGGGTATTTAGAGGATTAGGATAAAAAAACTGCAGGGTTCCGAAATTTTCTATTTCAATTGTGCTGTACAGTGGGGATTTATTTCTTATGAATTGAAGGTGAGCACAAGGTTTTGGTTTGAATTTTATTATTCATTTAGGTCACTAATATGCTGGACTAACAGAATCAGTCAAAACATTCAAACCGGAAACTTGTGCTCCATGTTTAAAACAAAAGTAAAGGGAAATATAAGAGTTATCAATTGGTAGCCATCTTGGATTTTTTCATCATGGCAAGACATTTCTCATGTGCTGTATGTTCCAAAGGGCTTGCACCAAAGCAGCGGAGGACAGTAACTAGTAGATCAATACTTGGGAAAGCTATTGAAACACTAACAAGGAAACCTCTCCCAGAAAAATCTTGTATTTGCCATAAATGTAGGGAGAAAGTTGAGAAACCTCCAACTAACCCTCCAGTTCTAGAACCAGAGTTAGAGGTGCAACCAGAGCCTATGCAGGCTATGCCATACGACAGTTTTCCCACTTCATTCATGAGAACCTCCAGGTGTAAGGGGAGATGTATTGTCTGTTGCAAGACAATAAAATCTCAGGTAACTGCAAAGCATTCTCCATTTTTATTCAAAATGCAAAAGAAAAACATGAATGAGATTTTGAGAATGTGATTGTAACTGTTTGCTGTTGTGATGACTGTTAACTATTAAAACTGTTTACTCTTATGATGGTTTACTGTAATGGTAACTATTTACTGGTTCACTATTAACTATTCTGACTGTTTACTCTAAAGATGATGGTTTACTGTGATTGTAACTGTTTGCTGTTGTGATGACTGTTAACTAGTGTGACTGTTTACTCTTATGATGGTTTACTGTAATGGTTACTATTAACTGGTTCACTATTAACTATTCTGACTGTTTACTCTAAAGATGATGGTTTACTGTGATTGTAACTGTTTGCTGTTGTGATGACTGTTAACTATTAAAACTGTTTACTCTTATGATGGTTTACTGTAATGGTTACTATTTACTGGTTCACTATTAACTATTCTGACTGTTTACTCTAAAGATGATGGTTTACTGTGATTGTAACTGTTTGCTGTTGTGATGACTGTTAACTATTCTGACTGTTTACTCTTATGATGGTTTACTGTGATTTTTTTGTTTACAGGCATTGTTTCCAGGCATCTCTTTTCAATAAATCACGATTAATTATAATTATAAATAATATCTGTATCTTATTTCAGACAATGCTGATTCCAGAAGATTCCAGGCTTGCAATATTTGTAGAGCAAAGGATCCTGGTACCTCATGGAGTTCGCTGTTGTACAAAGCACCTTACTAGTGGAAGGTTGCATCCTGCAACAAAACTCCAATGCACAATTGTGGAGGCAACTATGTCAGGGGAGGAATTGTGTGATCTGCTCAATACAGTTTGTGGTATTGCAAAGAAGAATGCCAGAACAAGGATGGACTTTGAGAACCCCTTAAGTCTAACTTCTGAGGAGTACAAAGTGGTCACAGGTATTACAAGAGAACAATTTGATGAACTTTTACTAGACTGCCCAACTCTGAAAAAATCATCCGTTCGAGGACGTCGAACAGCTCTAGCAGTGTTCCTTGTTAAAATGAGATCTGGCCTATCACATCGATTTCTGGCAACATTGTTTGGATTCAAGTCAAAACAAATTGTGTCAAGTATTGTTGCGTCTGCACGATGTGCATTAATGGAGCAATTTGTTCCAAATTACATAGGATTCAACCATATCAGTAGAGAGGAAGTTCGCAAGAATCACACATCTCAAGTTGCGGAGACTCTATTTGGCAATGATGATAGGATTATCATAGTCCTCGATGGCACATACATATACATCCAAAAGAGTGCTAATTATTCCTTCCAAAGATTAACCTATAGTCTACATAAAGGCCGTCCTCTACTGAAACCAATGATCATCACAACAACTACTGGTTACTTTGTTGCCATACTTGGCCCTTACCTTGCTAGGAACAATGATGCTCTTATTTTAGAAAACCTTATTAAGTCTGATATGGATGACATTAAATCATGGCTGCAGATAGATGATTCATTTGTACTGGATCGTGGCTTCCGTGACAACGAAGAGTTTCTTGGAAACTTAGGCATTAATGTTGCTATGCCAGCTCTTGGCCATGGCAAGAAGCAGATTCCAGTTGATGAAGCCAATGCCACCAGGTTTGTCACTAAGATTCGCTGGGTTGTTGAATCTGCTAATGGCAGACTGAAGAGATGGTTATTCTTTGCTAATGTTGTACCGAACACAAACATTCAACACTTGGGAGATTACCTTAAAATTATTGGTGCTACCATCAATCGATTCAGGCCAGACTTTATTACATCAAAGCCAGGAGATGATCTCGTTGCATCAAAGATGTTAGAAAGAGCTAAGTTACCTAATCCAGTTGATCATGGCAAACTTAGCTCTCGAGGAAAGTGGATGGATATCGATGATGCTGATATTACATTCCCCCATCTGGATGAAGAGTTTTTACGAAGTCTCACCCTTGGTGTATACCAGCTAAAACAAGCTGAGCGCTACACTGATGAGCACTTACAGCAGGATGGAAAGTACACTCTTCAGGCCCATCAAGATGCCCCAGGTCTTGTTCGTGTGCGTATACAATCACGGCACACGGGCAGTGTGAAATATCACGTCTGGGTGGAGCATGGCAATGACCCTCTGGAGCCCATCACTGGCTGGTATTGTACATGCCCCCAAGGTGCCAGGGTTGTTGGCTGCTGTGCCCATGTAGCATCTATAATCTGGTTCATGGGACATGCTAGGCACAATGGGTATAGTTTGGAAAAGAGAAGCCATCCTGAGAATCACATATATGATGCCAGAGACATGCCCATCTCCTCTTCAGAGTCAGAAGCTGAAGATGACTGATATTTTTATGAACCTTCAATAACACTGTCTCAATTACTATTGCAACAAATCCTCAATTGTTTTCAACCATTTTTGATGATGGTATTTGATAAAGGCTAGTTTGCGTTAACTATCTAATGGAATGATATACTTGAAAGTTGACCATGTTTTATTTTTGTCATTTTGACAATAATAAGCAATTTGTACAAGGATTTTTCGTCAAACTATTGAGTAAATATGATTGAAACACTAATACTATATTAATATATTGTTGTACACCATGAATAAAAGCATTAAAAAAACATAATGCAATGAAAATGATTTTTTAACATAATGAGGTTATCTCTTTTGATTCACAGCAGGGGGTTAATTAAGCATCAATACTCACTAAAAGATGCATATTATAATCAAATACATCTTAGACAGTAATAAAATCTATATTTCAAATACATTTAAGCGAGGGACCAAAAGGGCATATTCCCAGACTCATCCTTTATGATTTCCATTAAATTTGCCTATTTAAGGCCTGTTGTGGGAAATTCTAGTGAAACCCCTGGAGTTTCATTATTTTAATCATGTTTTGAAGTAGGATATTTTCAGTGGTTTTGTCTGCCACTTATAGCATCTTGTTGAAGCGAAAAGAAGATGTCAAAGTGTCTCTCGCAATGCTATTGACAAAAACATTAGTAAAGAATAACCAAGGAGGATTGACTCCCAAGATCGAAACTCGATATTTTCCAACAATGAAAACGTCGAAATGTCGTTATTTTCTGAAATTATAATCGACTATAAGTTCAAAATAAACATTCATAAAGATTCAAACCAATATCTCGATCATTACTTGGAATTTTTCCTCAAGAAATAAGACCAAAATTCACGATCCAAATGTTGAAGTGAACAAAATGGCGGCGGTTTGAATTCGAATTTTGTACACTGACATGCCCATACATGGCGAGACTATTGATATTGCACTCTGGGAGCCAATCCTCCTTGGGATAACTTACCTTTTCATGTATTTCTTTACTTCTGACCCGTACACTTTCTTATCTGTGATGGGATATTCTTCCAACATGTTATCGATAGCAACATCATATCCACTTTTTGATACACTACCATCAGCATCTTCGTCTGCACCATCCTCAGCTGACTTATTGCCACCGATCATGGAGTCATCTACGGTATCTGAACGTGTGACATACTAAAAAAAAGAAGTATTTTCTTTTATAAATAACTGATATTCTTTAACACCATTTCTCAGAAGGTGAGGGTGCATTAGCGTTTACATTTTCATTCAAAATGCAGGAAGTAGGTGTAGTTTTACTGGTAGTCTTTGAACGTTGGCAGGTGAAGTATTGAAAAAATAATATGTTCACAGATGGCAAAACAAAACTATATCTACCTAGTTTTTGAATAAAGATTGTGATCTTATAATATATTCCCTCTGTACTCCATGAAAATATTCTACGGTTTTCCATCCCCTGCTGCCCCAAATTTTCTCACTATTTGATTTTCATATTTTGAACCAACAACCAAGCGAATGCTCCACCATGGAGCTACACATCCTCCGATCGGCGATCACAGGGCTTCAAAATCCAGAATATCTTCTTTCTTTTTACACCCTGCTATAAGCAGTTAGCATTTCCCCGATTAAGAACTCGCAATTTGATTCGCTGTCGCAACACTGCGACAGCAATCATGTATACATCATCGGTGCATAATTAGATCTCGGGACTCAGTTTAATCGGACGCTTCCAAATTGGTTATAGCAGGGGGGGAAGAAGGATTCTGTACACCTGCTTAGGAGGATGGGAGCTACAGGACTAGCTAACTTCTTCTCATCAACAATGCATTTGAAGCATTGCAGCCATGTCTTACACAAAGATTAATCAACTTGTTGATTCAACTTTCTCAAACAACCCTTTAATTGAGTTGTTTTCTTTAAAGTTGAGGCATTGATTTTGCAGCCATGCGCCCATATATGGTATCACAAACCTTATATGGTTATTAGTGGATGCATATATTTTTACAAGGTATTAATGTGCAAAATGCCATTTGTCACAGACACCAACTGCCAAACACAAACCACTGGACACCAACTATCGAACACCCAAATACCAACTGCAAAGCACCATCCATAAAAAAGTTGGAGACCATAACAGTATACAGGGCTCCCATCAGGGAATATTTAGGGTGTGGTGGAAACATCTTCAGCACACCCGTTCAATTGTGATAAATCATATTTGTGTTATATTTTATCCTATTTTTGTACATTCAGTCAAGTTGAGACTATAATTGTAACAATCATGATAAGATTTGCAAATAGGTTGTGGTGGAATCTAAATAGAGTGAGGTGCTGCGCCACAGTCTAAAAGCCTACTTGGAGCCCTGATATATCATGACTTGTGGTGACATAAAAACTCTAATGAATGTAAATCGCAAATGTCTAGCTTGGGGTCATTCGCATAGACTAATATATATGATGGCATATCCTAGGTTCGCGTTAACGCCGTTTTTCGCGTTTTTTACGCAGTTAATTTCATCTTCACGCAAAACTGCAACACATCTTACGTATCGTGTACACAAAAATCATATCCCCCAAATGTACCGATGAAATAATACCAAAAACAACCAAAAAACAAAAATTAAAAACTTAAGCACGCTCTCTAACAGCGTAACATAACGATCAATCTGATTCGTGCATAATATTTGTCTTCCGGTTATTAAGCCAATCAAAATTCTTGTAGCAAATGTATGCGGCTAAACAGGGTATAGCTGCAGAATTTTTTCCACAGGACCGTTCGTGTGAATTGATCGCTTATTTTATAATCTGCACTGTACAGCCGTGAGGAATCAACTTGTTCATGGTAAATGGAGATAATCAGGCAGGTTATTTGTGTAAAACTCGCGTCAAAAATTGATAATGATAAGTGCCGTTCCACATCACCACACTTCAGGGTGGGCATGGCACATCGAGAAGGCTACAGATGTTCATGACTCCTTGATTTATGTTTTTTCATGATATTAGAATTTGAGCTACAGTTTAGTCTCGAGAGGTAAATTCTAACAATATTGGGGTGTTTGGGAGAGGGTGATTCCATGGATGGTACCTTAGCCATGGAAGGTAAGTTACAGGGACTTTGTGGAGGCCTCACAAGAAGGTAAACAGGAATGACTTGCAATGCATGAGTACATGCGGGGAGATAAACAAATTTTTTTACCACAAAAGCCCGCTGAAGCGATTTTCAAAAATTACCCCAAAATAATTATTTGTACCCCATTTTTTGAAGTGACCTGGGTATGAAGTACTCAAAATTACTAAGGCCTAGCGCAATCACTGCATATCAGTTAGTTGATTTACTACATAGTATATAAAACAGTATTTTGATGTTATAATCCCACACATGGAAGAGGGGGAAATACCCCAAAATTCAAATATGAACCTTTATAAATATACTAACCTTTGCTTTGAATTCATATACAAGGTCATCTACAAGCACAGGGTTAGAGGCATCTGTTGCAAGTTCGCAACCTGAAAGTGACAAATATGTTAGTTAGTTAGTTAGTTAAAGATGTAGTTGGATATGTAGCAGAGGAAGTCTCTCACTGGCCCTGGCTGAGGTGAAATAGGCACAGGGGAGATAACATTAACAGTGATCTCCCCAGCATTAAAATTGGCATATTTTGACCAATTTTGATCTGAATTGTGAAAATGAGAATTTTGCACCCACTTGAGAAAAAATCCTGTGGAGAACACTGATTAACCAATGACTTTTTATGTGTATATAAGACATAAGATATGCTACTTGAATTTATTTTTATGACTCCAAATTTTCCCATTTTTCAATCTCCAGAGATATAATGTTGAGTTTCTTACTCACTGGGGTACTGTGTTAAGTTTTTTCAAATACACGAGTTCTTGTGAATTTGTTCGATCGTTAAGAAATATGGATCCCCCCCCCTACATCCTATCCCCCTCCTTCAAATATTAATTTATTTCGATTATTTTTGTATAACGCATGGAAACTAACTATAAAAAGTGAGAATGTCATTAGAATTGTGATATTAATAACGTCCATTATAGTCAAAACAGAAATGTTTGGGAGTACTTTGAATTTAAAAAGTAAGCAATCAAATGACCATATTGAAACAGTTTATGTAAAAGTAGAAACATTTATATTTATCCTAACTTTTGTATATTTCAGATAGTAATGTATAATGTGCAGCAAAGCTGTGGCCTTTTGTAATTTAAAGAGTTTCAGCCATGTTAATTTTTCTGAAAATAACATGGCAGAGAAGTATCAAAATACAAGAGGACACAGATATGATAGCTAAATTACAAAGCAAACTAAAATATACAAAAGTTAGGATAAATATAAATGTTTCTACTTTTACATAAACTCAGCGCTTGCATTAGGCTCTGAAAAATGTGAGTCCCAATGAAGGAAAAAATTTTAAAAAGTGAGTCCCGACAGAAAAAAGTGTGTCCTCCAATATATAAGCTAAATTAGCTATAATGGGCTATTTTGGAATGTGCATGACTTGATCTTACATGTCTTATGTGTTTTCAAAATGTTGCCATTCGTGCCCTGTGATTTAAACATGTTCTTTATATTCAATTCACTTATGTTATGCAACCTCCAGCCTGTTATAGTAAGTACTATTATACTGTGATTATCTTTATACTTGCTGTTTGCACTGAACAACTGCTTGAAAAAATAAGAACATTTTTTAGTATGAATTTGTCTGACGCTCAGTAATTTAGTGTAGCACTACATTTTCTACATGATCAGAATCCTCTGATTTATATCATAAATTAGACCATTTTGACGTTATATAATCACAAATAGACTACTTCACCTAGGTAAGTATGCATCGTTTGTACAATTGAACTCATTTTGAAGGTTTTATATCAGCTTTTCAGTGAGAAAAATATGTCACATGCAAACTGATAACCTATTATCGCCCATTACAATAGTTCGTTTTTCTGCATTCTTTTTCTTTTTTACTCAAAATAAAGTTGTAAATCTCACATATTTTGATCTTAATATACACCTCAAAGAAGTCAAACATGATCAACTATTGAGATTTTCAAGATTTTCAAAAAATGTTCAAAGTTTTGACTCAATTTTTTTTCCGTCCCAAAAACGGAAATATTTTTTATTTTTCCGTCCTACAATTTTTTTTTGCGTCACTTACATGTAAGGGACGCCGTTAATGCAAGCCCTGTAAACTGTTTCAATTTGGTCATTTGATAGCTTATTTTTTAAATTCAAAGTACTCCCAAACATTTCTGTTTTGACTGTACATGTATACCTATTTATTACTAGTCATGTAGACCATTATTGCCTGATTTATAAAAAACATTGACTTTTGCACGTTGGTGATGTTGCGCCTTTTATAATACATCGCATGTCTTAGAAGGCAGTGATCTCCCCAGCATTAAAGCAAGTGGACACAGCACCCACCAGAGATTTTGAAAAAGGCTTGCACCCACTTGAAAATGAGAAAAAATCATGAAAAATTGGCATATTTTGACCAATTTTGGTCTGAATTGTTAAAATGAGAATTTTGCACCCACCTGAGAAAAAATCCTGGGGAGATCAGTGGAAGGGTATGCCAAAAAAACACTGCCATTTTGAAACGTGTCACGAGTAAATAAGGTTAACTGATGTTGCATTCTGGGAGTCAATCCTCATTGGATGGCAAACATGGCGATTCATGAAAACATTCCTTCGATTTGGTAGGGATTTATCTACAGTTTGCAGGTATGAAGCTTAGGATTCATTTGTTGTGCTACTTAAAGTGAACGGGAATTATTTCTCTACCGCTTAGGAGAGTTTGAGACACGAAACTCAGAATTTAGTTCATCATGACAACTTTTGATGGTTGAGGTTTTATTTTTGTCCATCACTTTACCTGCACAACAATGATCAGAGTTAGAACTAAGATGAATGAATTCGATTCTGTCATTTATCGCATCCTACGACCCCTTTAGATTGTGGTCGTAGGCCCGTTTCATTCGTAAGCCTGTCTTTCTACAATGTCGGAGAATGAACTACGCATTGCGCTATTAAATGACCTACCTCTATACATTCCAGAGTATTTTAAAATTCTTTTTATGTTGTTAGATCGCCAATTGTATGGGTTTATCGTCAGAACGAAGAGATTTTAGTTTTTACATCGGAAATATCTCAGCAATTTTCAAAATGTCGGAAGGGGAATTCCCCAGGGATTTCCCTTATGACTGGTGCATGCCGGGAACTGAATGGAGGAATTTGACGGTTGAACCTACACGCAAATATTGCTATCAAAAACGAAAATATCTTCGTTCTGCCGATAAACCCATACAATTTGCGATTCAACTATATGAAAAGAATTCTAAAATACTCAGGAATGTATCGAGGTAGGTCATTTATGTGTGCAATGCATAGTTCATTCTCCGACATTGTAGAAAGACAGGCTTACTAATGAATCGGGCCTACGACCACAATCTAAAGGGGTCGTAGGATGCGATAATCTGTCATGTGTGCTAAACTGTAGAATTATTGATGTTTGAAGAGGGGAGCAGAGCATTTACATTGGAGAAGTCAAAAACATTTTTGGCCAATAAAATTACAAAGTAAAGGTTCATTTATTCTTAAAATCATGAATCGGATTGCGATCGTTTCAGTATTTGAGTTTGCCATGATTGTTTCATTAAACTTCGTAAAAATAATTTAGTTCAATGTGAAAAAATATTTTCGAATTATAGACTTAGAAAAAAAAATTTCCCGGATTTGAGAGTCAATTTGAAGTAGAATTTTGGACGTATATACTCACCAAAAACGTTAGTTATTTGACAGTCTAATAGATAAAACATTCAAATTTTACTCACCGGTCAAAATATCCTTAAAAATAATCATCTTAGATGGATGTTTACAGATTTGTGCGATCAAATCAACACAATTTTTGTCTCCAAGATGGCAGGATTAAAAAGGAAGATGACGTCACTTCCGGATTCCTCATCACAAAAACTAGTCGATCAACAAAATCCATCAAGTACATTTAGGCCATTCAAATTAATAGTACGTTCAGCGTCCTCTGGATTCTAGAATGGCCAAATTTTCATAGGAAAAAAAAAACAAAACAAAAATATATTATTCGAAAGTGAAATACCATTTATGATAAAATGGCTGGGAATTTGAATATTTGAAAAATAAAAACCTGACAACCCTTTCCCCATATTTTTTTAAGATTTCTACAATAACTTTTAAAGTCATGAACTATTGTAAATGAATGATAAAAAATATTTTCAAACATTACATGGGGCCTTTAGATGGCCTTATAGACAAGATCAGAAAATTTCACCCCACTGTTAGTGTTTTGCTTTGTACTTTTCAGTAAAATACATTACAATGTATTGTATACGGGTACTATATTTTTCAGTACAATACTCTACAATTTATTGTATACTTTAATGTACTGTTTAGTTCAGTACAATACACTATATTTTATTGTATATTGTAATGCATTGCTAAGTGCAATGTAATGTATTGCATATTGAAATGTACTGTTTAGCACAATACATTACATATTTAATGAACTGTTCAGCACAAAATACAATAAATGTATTCTTTATTCTGATGTACTGTTCAGAACAATATACAATAAATGTACCAAGTTCGAGCAAACCTCGCCCCCCCCCTAGCCAAAAATTCTTTCAAAATCATGCAGTTTTTCACCATTCAGCTGGAATTTTTCAAAAAGTGAACCCCCCTTGGCAAATCCTGGCTACAGGCCTGTGTACCCTATTCTATTTTTTAGTTCAGTTCAGTTCAGTTCAATGCAATGCACTTCAATGTATTATTTATTGTAATGTTTGGTTGGTTACAATACACTTTGGCAAGAAATAGCACAATGCACTACATGTTTATCTTCGATGTGAAATAACATGACACACCACATATTTATCTTCAATGTGAAATAACATGACACACCACATATTTATCTTCAATGTGAAATAAATTTTCTATTTTCCCATTATTATTGACAATATAAAACAATACAATAAGGTATAATAACACAATAAGATTACATACCTATCTGTTAATAATGCAAAGAGATTCAAAGTTGATTATAAATATGTATAATGAATCTCAATATTCTATAAAATAATTTGATTAATCACCCCTGTGTTAATTATGGCTATATATGTATGTATAAGGGAAAATCAATTGATAATCTATGACTATTAAGGGACAGGGTCAATATTTCAATGTCTGTTAAAAACGTAGTATTTAGTTAGGTCTTAACCCCCTCCCCCTTCTAATGAAAGTCAAAATGTTGATTCGAGTGCAATCACAATGCTTATTTGCATGCACAAGTTCAACATCAGCATATACATTTCCCTCCATAAGTTTGGCAACCTTAGCTCCCCCATTGAACTACGTGTTAAAGCCTCTTTACGTTTAAATTTTTATTTACTTAACCAGCTGTGAAATAACTTATAATATTGATGGAAACGTAACTTGACTTTGTTTCCAATACCTCCAAATTTTCTCAATTTTTTTCTCCTCAATTACAATAGGTCAAAAATTGATGATAAATTTGATGAAATTTTGAAAATTGTCATTCCCATGCAATCCAATAAGTTTCCAAACTTATGGAGGGGAGTGTAAATTAAAAAATGCTACTGCTATAAACAACACATTTCAAATTCTCACTATACATATCTGCATGTCTGTTGAGTATATTTGATAATCATACCATGGCTGTCAAACCAGAAATTGCAGAAGACAAAAACCCAGGAAACTAAAAATCAATGGTCATCACCTTACAAATAGCCCTTTACCCCCCCCCCCTAAAATGTTATTATTTACATGTTTCATGGACATTGAAATACTGACCCTGCCTCTAAGAGAAAATCAGAAAATGAAGGTACAGATAGGCTTTTGTATATTTAAAGCTCATCCAAATTTCCTCATTCTATATATAAAAATAGAGTTTTAAACGACAATGCGAGTACAAAAAGTAAACTTCAGGGGAAGATTGCCCCTACTACTCAAAAGCTATCATTAAGAGATAGTCATACATAAATTATCTCATTTCCAAACAAAGCAGCCACCTTTACTTATGACTCTTCTTACAGATCTGCCTTTGATGCTGTTTCATTTGTTTCACACTTTATTCCATTATTTCATTCTTTTCTTGTTTAGTACAGTGGGTGGGTGCTAAAAGGCCATGATATTATTGTTTATGATAGTATGTGTGGAAACTTTAAATTACCTAATAGGAGCAGATTTTCAATAAACATATTTCAAAGTTTGTTTGGTTAACACAATTTGGTATCACGATTTAGTGAAAAACTTAAGACAAAACAAAACACCTAATGGTATTGTCTCAAATTATTGTGTCCCCTTGGACATCCGCAAAAACTATGAGAAGTTGAAATAACAATTAATGTTCTATTCATTTAAACAGTCATATCAAATTGGTGAATATTTTGGGGGATTTCTATGGCTGAAATACATGTATGTAAAATGAGTAACAAATTGTTACAAAGACACACAAATAACTGAGTTTTTCTAAGATCACTTGCGAAATCTGACATATCTTTCGAATGCCAAAATATATATGGCCTATATTATATTATATTGACAAAGATTATATCAAAATGTCATATTGGGTCAAAATAAGCTTGTCTTTTTGGCAAAAATACAATTGTAAATACAATGTCATGTAAAGTGCTATTAATAATTATTAGATATCAAAAGGGCTCAATGCCTAACTTCAATCATAAAATACACCAAAATTAAACTCAAACCATCAGTAGACTTTGGATCAAACCCCATTTTCTGTAAATATCAATTTGGTAAGTCGATCACACCTTCTCCAAGACTCCTCAACTGGGTGATGCAATAGAGAGAGAGAGTTTTCACCATTCAGCACTTTTCGTGATTTCAGGCAACACCCCTGGAATTTTTGAAAATTGAACCCCCCTGGTAAAATCTGGCAACAGGCCAAGACCTTTTTTAAAACCAAAGTGTATTTGCAGAGGAAAGGGTTTGACATGTATCAAATGCTACCAATTGTGAATATAAAGGTTGTTATCATGGGCGTAGCGCCCGGTACGCTGGGTACGCACAGGCATACCAGATGGTTGCAAATTTGCTCCAAATAGAACCAAATTTCAAAATTTTCCTGGAGGAGAACCCCCAGCACCCCTTAATGCTCATTTTTTGATTCACTCAACTCTTGTTCATGTGGTTGTGGCATACTTCTTTGAAAAATAGCGCTACGCCCATGGTTATATATAATTCGAATTAATCATTAATTGGAGTACTGTAAATTGCCTTAATTAGGCGCTGTTTATATGAGCTATTAAGAAAGAATTCTGATATAAGACTTAAGGTTCCGGGAATTTTTCCCAAAAATTTGACGGAGACTTGATTCCTGCCAAACTAAAATGGCCATCAAATTAAAGCAATTTACAGTATATGTGTTCAGAGTTAAATGCCGAGCCCTATTATGAGTAAGATGCAAATTATACAACATTATAAGGCACTTATACAATTATAAGTACTATACACCAAGAAATATTACAATATGAAAGTATCACAAAATTCAATGTTATGAAATATCTATCTAAGACCACAGAAATATGAGTATGGAATTCCAGGAAATTCACTGTTATATGATAAAACTATCAAAATAAGGAAAACTGGCATATGAGTTTTCAAAGGATGTATTTCTGCCTTCTGGGGATATTGGCATCTATTTCATTCGCATTTTTTAACTCATAAAAATGCTTCCCATTTTAAACAGAAAATATGAGTAATGTAATGCAGTTCTACAGTTCTATAATGCCATGAACTAAATAATCACTCTTAGTCCCCACAAAAAAGAAACTTTCTCAAAAACTTTGGGATCAATGGGGTGGGGAGTGAGAGGAGTGTAACTGACAGAGGAATTCCATGAAATCTCGTGGTCAATAGGAACAATGAGTTCATGAGAGATAAAATTTGGTTTAAGTTTTGGTATCATTGCACATTATAGCCACTCTGCTTTTCCACACATCATTGAATTAGTGTTTACGATTTTCCGCAAATCTTGGTTCAAATCGTTTTAAACGTCTTGACCTCAGTTCCTCTGCATTTAATCGTTTCCGTACTTCTGGTGGAGTTTTAGATGGAGCAGAAGGCTCAGGGGGAGGAGGGGCAATTCCAGAAGGCTGTGGAGGAGGGACAATCTCAGATGGCAATGTTGGGTAGAGGTGAACACCTCCTGTGTTATCTGCACCAGCTGATACTGCAAAAGAAAGTATACAGAATGTAAGCCAGGTTTGAGGCTAATTGCCTCACCAAAAATGAATTTTCAGACATTTTTGTAGCAAAGCTGTGCAAAAGAAGTCCCAAGGTACTGCACTTAGGGATATTGGTAGAAACAGTCGGGGCATTGTTCGACGATCTTCAAAAAATTTGTTTTACATGATTTGTTAAAACTTCTAATTAGACACATCTTTTTAATCGATACAGTGATATATGGTCTAACAATGCCTCAGATTTTCACCTGATGTCAAGGGTTAGGGTTTGTTTGGGAATGTCCAATTACACAGGTGACGTAAAAGTAGAAAATAAATAAAAAGACTGCCAACTTAATAGGGTAGCTAAAATTTGAATGGAAATACCTGAATTCTCCACATTTTTAAGTTGTCATTACATGACTTTATAGTCCTTTCCAACAGTATTTTATTTAATTTAACATGATCCCTATTAATATCAGTTTACTAACCTTCATTTCTACTTCGTCTTATTGCTTCAGCCATTTGTTCCTCATCACTTAATCCAGACTGATCATCACTTGTTTGTTGTTGCCTTTCGCGACGCACAGACTCATTGTAACTATGGTCAGTGCCTCTATCTTCGTTACCTTGACTACGTCTTATTGCCTCCTGTATCTGAGCCTCTTCACTTAATCCACCTACAGAAGAAGAGCATTCAATCGTAAAAATCTTACTTTTTTCATGAAGCCCCTTACAGTAAAACCTGTTTAATATGAATGCCATTGGGACCAGCTAAAAGTGTTCTTAATTGGAGGGGTTCAGATTTCAAGGTTTTTGCATCTATAAAAGTTCAAAAGTTTTGATTGAACAAATTAATGTTAAATTAAAAATATTTGAGCAAATTTGTAAGAAATATGTGATATTTTGTAAAAAGTGTTCAGATTAGACAGGTTATTTTTTTAAATATGAGTGTTCAATGTTTGAGGTGTTCAGATTTCAAGTTTTTTTAACATGGGAGTCAATGAGAGGAAAAAATAGGACTGGAAAAAGTGATATACAGGTTTCACTGTACCACTTCCATGTACAGGCAGAGATGTAGTTTGAGGTTAATCAAGAGGTGAGGCAAATGAAGGTTTAGAGGTTTGCAATACACTGTACTGGTAAACAGCATTTTCAGTATCATTCAAGAAATGTAATTGTATTTCATTTGATTCTATATAGTTTTAATCAATGTCTTGATTCAACTTACTTCAACTTGATTCAACTGGTGTATAGTTAATTTTTGCATGCTTTTAACACTACCATGGGCTTTCTCTAATTGAAAGCCCATGACACTACAAAAACTGACAAACTATATTTAAATCATTGCTACTTTACCTGTTAAGTCAGAGTATGGGTTGCTATGGTTTTGATTTCTGTTGTTTGAATTACCAGTAGTGTTGCTGTAGTAATTGTTTGTGTTGCCATGGTGACCAGATGTGTTGCCTGTACGACCAGTTGTGTTGCCACTGTGACCAGTTGACCCGGTATGATATGTATAAGATCTGAATAAATGACCTCTACCTATATTAAAATCAAATAAGATGCATAAGAACACAAACTTTTTCAAAAGTCACAGATTATACACCAGTTCAATATTTTGTTTGCAGTTAAAAAAATTAGGCAGTCATATATTTTTTATTCATCACTTGATCAATTATATTGTCACATAATAGAATGAATGAGAGTAACTTGGAGCCTTCACCATTTGCACAGAAGTTTTGTCCTTACAATTATAAATACATGTATATTAGTTAAAGTGAAGTTCAGAAATTAAATCTTTATCTTTGCTTATTCACTTAAAAAAAACATTTAAAAATTAATTCAACAATCTTACTAATGTTTCAACACCCTTCCCTCAATTAATGATCAATTTAGAAAATGACTATCTTTGCCATTTTAACCTCTTGAATCCCAGTCTCTAAATTCAGTTGAAACCAGAGAATCTTTCATTTTTGCCACATCTTGATATTTAACTACATTCATATACAACTTTAGATGCTCAACTTGGTAAAATCAGACGGCGGAGATCATTTCTACAAATTCTAAAACAAGTTTTGTTTAAATTGGATGAAAATTGTTCAAATAAGAGCAATTTTAGTGAAAAATTTTGTGACAGATTTTCTCGTCACACTGGGTTTCAAGGTCATTTCTGAGGTTAAACATGATTTCCATGGGGGAAAGAAGGGGGTACTGATTCTGTACTGATTAGAAAAATGGTACTGATTCTGGACACCTGCTTAGGAAGATGTAATATTCCTATGGGTATGTCATTAGATCAAATTAAAACCTACCTGTAGGTACAAAGAAATCCATGATTGCTCTCAATGGGCCTTTAACAAATGCTAGTCCAACAAGTATTCCTGCCAAATGACCTGAAAATGTTAATTTAAATAAATAAAATAATTTAATTAAAATATTAACTTCAGAGTTTCTTACAACTCGGAACATCACTGAAAATATGTATATAATGTATTGTAATCAATGCATAAAAAACATGTCAATGAAAATCTAAACTCTAGCCTAGATAACCAAGAGGAATTGTAAAAAAGTATTATCTACTGGATCACATCATTCTACATTTACATTTAAGATCTATATGGCCAAAGAAGAGTATTGACTATTGAGTTGGGGAGGGGACAGAGGAAGTAGAAGTGGGGAGGGGGGGTGCCACTATGAATGGACATGTATAGTATTTCTCACAAATCAGATGTGAATCAACATATACACTGGCATCAGGATAAATGCAGAATTAAAGAAATGAACTGACTGTTTAATCAAAGGGTGTATGATCTTTCATGATGATTTACTAGATATGAATTCAACTACATGTACATGTATATCAATACACCATACACATAGAGGTTGGATGGCGTTGAAGTTTTAAACAGCTCAAAAATAATTGAATATAAAAAGGTTCATTCGTGAATTCCCCTAAACAAACTCACTGAAGATTATTTCTTCAAAATTTTCCTGAGTTTTTAAAGAGCGATGTTACCTGTTACTCAAACAAAATCATAAAACAAACAAACAACATAACCCCTATTAGATTAACAATCTTATGAATTACCACAATTTCTTTTACATTGGCAAACCCCCAAAGATCAGTCATTTGTCATTGAGTCAGCCCCATGATACATGTGGTATAACATAAAACCCCTAAATAGAAGTATATGTCATGTAGCATGCATAGTTTTTGTTATGTACTCATACTAGCACTGTAGGTGCATAATTATCATCAAAACTTGAACTTCATTGAATTTCAACATTCAACCTAGTTATTCAAAATATGCAAATTTTCATTCTCATTTTGAGTGCAAATAGTGAGTGCAAGCCTAATTTCAAATTCACACCAGCTTAGTTTGAGTGCAACTGAGATCACTGCCAGCCAACCTCTCCATATAAACAGCAATTAAATTACCAGTAAAAGATGCATTTGGGACGAGCAGCTGAATGACGACTAATTCTACCCAGCATGCAATCCTGGATGGTACAGGAATAAATCCCATGATAAGCTGTGTGCCTGGGGGAAGAAAATGTGTGCTCAACACCTTCAACGCAAACACTACTCCTGTAAATAGGATCAAACATATGTGCATTTGGTTTATTTTTAAAATACATGTCATCAACAAAAATCAAAGTTTAATTAAACCCAATTCAAACAAGAAATACATCCATCAAGTAATTATTAATAGCTGTAAAAAATTGCAACCATTCTATAAATCAAATCAATACTCAAATTATACCCTAGACTTTAAAAGTAAAAAGGCAAATAAATATATGTATATCATTTGAGATGTATTGATGGTCTTTAATTCTTTGTTGAAGATATACAAAAAAAATACATTTAACTTGTATTGAAAACTTTAATGTTATGATGATTAAACTTTATATTGATCAGAAATATTATCTCACCTGAAAATCCAACAGCACAGGAGCCTGCGTAACTTGGGTCTTGGAGGAGGTACTCTAGTAGCACATTCAGCCCAAGTAAAGTGCCGTTGACTAGTATAGAAAATACAAGTATTACATACAGAAAATATCCACTTCCAAGCTTCCGTTCAAGTGTCAGTCCTTTCCAGAGAAATGAAACCATATTATAATATAAATGCCAGTCATCTGCATGGTAAAAGGCAGCTAAAAGAACACGCATCCACTCCTGACGGTACCATACATTCACTATGCTGACACATACTCCTCCCAATGATGTTGGCAGCCACGGTATTCTGAACAATTTGAGATATATAGCAACATTGGCCAGTATTGTAGATAAAGTAGTTGGAGGGATTTTGTCGAAGCCAACACTGAGCAGTTGCAATGCCAGGAGCATCAACCCCATTCCTTGTCCACGACTGCGTCTCTGTGGTAACATTTTCTGTTTATGTGTGCAAGTCTACAGGGTTTATAATTTGTGTAGCACCCACACAGCATCAAATATCTATGTCAAAGTTCAGCATTTCAGATCAGATCTCTAGCAGTCTAGAAATATGAGGAATAGGTATGAAGTATGCAGCACTGAGATGACATTTGTCAACATTAGATGGCAAAAAATCAAATGTGATGAAACAAAATCTAAGATGATAGTTTTACTGACGTGGTGATGAATGGTTGGATGTCAAGTTAAAAAATTCAGAAAATTCAAATGAATCATAGATTCATCTGCATGTACATTTATTGAGTGTAAATAACTCAAATGCAACAAACTATAGGTAATCAAGCAAATGTAGTTTTACAAATCAACTAAATCTGTAAATTTGCTCACCTAAGAAGCCGAAATCGGTATGAAATGGCGAAAAATGTAAATGAAATTCATTTTTATTTTTTTTATTTTTTTAACTTCCGGTTCCTATTTTTAGATTTTTCTGGAATATTGAAACGAAACTATTCAATTAAAAATATTAATTAGATCAATATGTATAAGATCAATTCAATCAAAATATTTTGATAGTAGTATATAATTTCAAAGGAGAACATATCAAGAAAAGTAGAGAAATAATAACTTGCTTATTAGTTTCGTTTGGTACACGTCGATGCAGAACTCAAAATCACTATGGCGGAGCTTGGTTGGCCTGCCCTGGTGGTACTTTGTGCCTTTGTTTTGATAACATGGAACGATTTAGCGAGACCAGGAAACGCTCAAAAGAATGAAAAAGACATACCGATTCCAAAGATGATGTCGAAATTCGCTGGACCGACTATTAAATTCCTTTATTGGTAAGTTTACACTGAATAAATTTTCATTTTTGTGGCCATTTTTCCAGAACTCAGTCACAAGGAGTTTTTTTCCAAAGACAACTCAATGAAAAAAAAAAATATATTTATCTTATTGTTATCATGATTATTAAAGTGGGGTGCAAAATAAATCTCAACCCTCAAAAGTTGTCACAATGAGCTGAATTCTAAGTTTCGTTTCTCAAACCCAAGCGGTAGAAAAATAGATCTAATTCACATTGACTTTAGTAGCACAATAAATGAATCCAAAGCTTCAAACCTGCAAATGATGGATAAATCCCTACCAAATCGAACGAATGTTTTCATGAATCGCCATGTTTGTGATCCCAGAATGCAACATCAGGTAACCTTTTTTACTCGTGACAGATTTCAAAATGGCGGAATGGCATTTTGAAAGCTGACACGTGTCATGTTGCATTCTGGGAGCCAATCCACATTGCTGCGTAATCCGGCTCCAAAATCACCTCAACATTTGAAGAGTCACCATTACATGTGAATTCCACTTCAAATTTTTAAGTTCTTATTTGTCATTATGGACACGGATTACACTATAATAATATATGGACTTACTAGTAGTGTTGTCGCGATTAATCGATACATTGCGATATACATCGCCAAAGCTGGTTCTGGCGATTCATCGATGTCTGAAACAAAACATCGATGTTTTTAAAAAAATTTGATTTGCTAAAAATCGCCCTTTCTTATCTTATTTTGACGCAAATTGCTTACCTTTTTTCATATCTTATTTCATTTTCAGATGTTTTCTGATATTCTTTCGCTTTAAAACTGTTTTAGCTAGTCGAAATGAACCATTAATCTAAAAAAATTACTTTCATTTCATGTTCCCGGATGTACCAGCGTACTCTTATTAATTTGTTCTGTTCGATATTTTAGTGCATTAGCGTTCAGTATTTCAGTGCACTTTTCTCGAACTTTTTCGCATCGATGTTTACTACTGATCGTTGCCGATGCATCGATGTACGATTATGGCACATCGCGACAACACTACTTACTAGGATGGAGAAAATAGAGCACTGAATACACTGAGTTAAGAATTTATTACATGTGCGACAGCATGTAATTTCCATAGCTTAAGTAATTCTTTATGGTGAGCACTGTAGATCTATTTATTTTTCAACCAACATATATAAATATGACAGTGAGTGAGTGACATATCAGGGGCGGATCTATCCTGGGAACCAAAATTTCCACATGCTATCTATTGCAAAACTTCGCACAACCGTCACCATGTTATTAAGTGTTTTTAAGTTTCGCAAGGATCCAACATGGGGCCAACATTCTTTTGGGCCCAATTTTTCTTCTGGGCCCACCCAAGGGGGAGCAGTGTGTTGTCTGGAAACTTTAAAAGAAAAGAAGACAATGTAATGATACTTTCCTGAAAAAAGTAGGGAAATTAACACATGCTCTCATTCTCATACTATATTTTGTACCAGAAAAATAACATGTGCAGGTATAGAAATTTTTCCCAAAATGTTATTTTCCAGCTGTACCTTAACCAAACCTGTCTGGCCCAGTTATCCACTCCTTATGTCAACATTTCAGAATCAAGGAGTAGATAACTGGGCCAGATGGGTTTGGTTAGACATGTCTGTAATATCCTGCTTGTTTTTTATTCCAGCTATAGCTGAGGTTACCAACGGGTGTATGAGCAGTTCTCTCATGCACTCCAACAAAAATACCCACAGCTTACGTTTGAAGGAGCTAACTACCCTCCAGCTCCTCCGAAAGCTGCAATCGCACAATTTCTTAGTATCTTTAAACTTGTAATAATTGGCTTCGTCGTCAGTGGTAACAACCCTTTCCCTCGTCTCGGCATGGAAACACCCAGTGCCTTCCAGTGGGCCATCGAAAATAAAGTAAGTTTGTACAAAATAATTTTTTTGGATAATGATTCCATCTATTTTTAATTACATAAATATGAAGGATATGAAAAGCTTCATACCCCATTTGTAAAAACATTGTAAAAGTATTGAGGATACACTCCCCAAACATTCCCCAATTTGAGATGATCATAAGAGATGATTATTTGTTGAGTTGTCATTGTCGGGAGAAAGTCAAGATTTCCCCTTTCATTGAAATTTTTGAACCCTGAACAGGTTCATCTTTGTTCACTTGGCTCCAATCGGTCGATGAAGACAGTGAAGACCGGAAGTGAAGATGGACATGTCACTCATCCCTACCTTTTTGGGACTTTGCACCATTTATACCAACTTTTAGGAGATTAACTTGAAAGTTTCAAATTACTTCACTTGAGTTAAGACAAATTATGCTAATCCTACCTCAAATTAATTTCAAACTCCATTGCAAGTCATAATGACACCTCAGGCCCAAATAGCTTAAATGTCTGTTTGAAGTTATTTCATTAATGATTTAGAAATGACCACTCATCTGTATATTGTATTTTAATCACACTTCCAAAAAGTGCTATGTCATCTTCTTAAGATGAGTAGGTGGTCACCACAATCAAATGAATCTTGAAATCATAATTCCAGGAAAACCTGCTTCTCAGTTCACAGGGGTTCCATTAGCAGCAGGCAACAGGCAATCTTCAACTGTTGTTTTCATGAAATCGCCTGTTGTTTTTGGAGACTTTTCCATGTTAAATCTATGATTTCCATTGATTTTGCCTGTTGATTTAATTTATTATCCCATCGAACGAAGTTCGGAGGGATATAGGGAACGCCTCCGTCCGTCCATTCGTACGTCCGTCCGTTCGTTGGTCCGTCCGTCCGGGCAATAACTCAAAATACCGTTGGCCCGATTTTGTTCATATTTTGTACACATATACCCTATGGGGGTAGAAGTTCTGCTCGAAAGCCGATTCTCAAAATGGCCGCTCATTTCAAAATGGCGGCCATTTTAGTGCCGATTTTACAGTAATTTATGTACAATATGTAAAACGTAATAGCAATATGTTTTAAGTGTAAAAAAATTATAAAGGACATTAATAAAGCTACAAATGTAGATATTAAAAAAGCACATGGCAGCCATCTTGAAAAATGGCGGCCTTTACTCGTTATTTTACGATTTTTGCTGTAACTCGAAAAGTAGTGGAGCGATTTTGTTCATATTTGGTATGTGAATACTATAAGCATGGCACACTGTCCTATGACACTTTTGGTAGAAGGCGGCCATTTTGAAAAAACTTTTGAAAAATGGCCGCCATTTTAACATATTTTACTATAACTCGAAAAGTAGTGGAGCGATTTTGTTCATATTTGGTATGTGAATACTATAAGTATGGCACACTGTCCTATGACATTTTGGTAGAAGGCGGCCATTTTGAATAAAATTTTGAAAAATGGCCGCCATTTTAACATATTTTACTATAACTCGAAAAGTAGTGGAGCGATTTTGTTCATATTTGGTATGTGAATACTATAAGCATGGCACACTGTCCTATGACACTTTTGGTAGAAGGCAGCCATTTTGAAAAATGGCCGCCATTTTAACGTATTTCACTATAACTCGAAAAGTAGGGAAGCAATTTTGTTCATATTTGGTATGTGAATACTATAAGCATGGCACACTGTCCTATGACACTTTTGGTAGAAGGCAGCCATTTTGAAAAAATTTTGAAAAATGGCCGCCATTTTAACGTATTTTACAATAACTCGAAAAGTAGTGAAGCAATTTTGTTCATATTTGGTATGTGAATACTATAAGCATGTCACATTGTCTAATGACACTTTTGGTAGAAGGTGGCCATTTTGAAAAATGGCTGCCATTTTAACGTATTTTACTATAACTCGAAAAGTAGTTCAGCGATTTTGTTCATATTTGGTATGTTTCATATTTTATATGTGAATACTATAAGCATGGCACACTGTCTAATGACACTTTGGGTAGTAGGCGGCCATTTTGAAAAATGACCACCATTTTTACGTTTTTACAATAACTTGAAAAGTAGTTCAGCGATTTTGTTCATATTTGGTATGTTTCATATTTTATATATGAATACTATAAGCATGGCACACTGTCTAATGACACTTTGGGTAGTAGGCGGCCATTTTGAAAAATGACCACCATTTTTACGTTTTTACTATAACTTGAAAAGTAGTGAAGCGATTTTGTTCATATTTGATATGTGAATACTCACGAGCCTTGCACACTGTCTCATGACACTTCGGATAGTAGGCGGCCATTTTAAAAAATGGCTGTCATTTTTACATTTTTTACTTATTTCACAAGTACATGTGTGCGATTTTTCAAAAATTTTATAGGTGGCTACTAAAAGCATATTATTTCTTCTGATGACAACTTGGCTAACCATTTTGAAAATGGTGGCCTTTCTGGTGTGTTGTTTTATGATATTTGCTATATATTTCGTTTGTAAAAATGCCAGCCATTTCTGTTCGATGGGATTCGCTACGCTTTGGCGTTGCCGTTGTTCTGGTTTAGCCTGTTGTGAGAAATTCTAGTGAAACCCCTGAGTTCATCTTGCAATTTTCTCAGATTCAATCTGATTAGGTTTTGGGCATGCTGGGTAAATCACATCACGGCCATTTTGCTCTTCATTATTTTAAAATTGACAACTGAAAATCTCCCTTGAGCATTAATAGCTATGAGGCAGCTCTTATAATAATAGAGAAATACTTTTTAAGACTTT